GCGGCGGAGGGCGCAAACGGTGGAAATATGGACCTAGAACTCCTCTGGTCGCGGGCGGGGTCTACTGTACGGACCGCGGTGTGCGAGTGAGGGGGGCCGCTCTCCCAGACCTGGTAGGAGCGCGGGGAGAGCGGGGCAGCGGAAACGGTCGTAATTACGACTCGTAATGAAGCGGAAAAACGTGAAGATAAAGGAGGCAGGCCGGGGCATATTTTCGGGCAGTGGGCAGCCTCCAGCAGCGAGCCCCGTGCGCCCCCGCGCGCCCGCCGCGCCGGGACTCCCGTCGCTCCCGTCCAGTGGAAGTGGAGCACGCGAGCGGCCATAAGCGGCCCGGCCGAGGCCCGGCCAGAAAAACAACAACACTCCCGTATCGACTTGAGAAATGCAAGCCCATTTGAAATGACATGGCATCATGTCAACCGCCCCGGGAGCAGCGTGGTGGCTGCAGTTCGCAGCCGCGGGCACGAAAATAAAAACAAACACACACACATACACACACAGAGGCACACCCGTGCACACACACATACACACTCACAGGTTTGACGTTGAGCGAGACGACGAGGACTAGCCACTCCGTTGTAATCAAGAGGCAAACGGCAGGACGCGGTCCGCGGCGTGAAATGGACGAAACACGAGGAGTGCGCCGTGGCTTTAGCCGTGCCGGGGCGGCCATCCTTCAAAACGGGGAGCCCGGCGAGCAGAGCCAGCAGCTTACCTACGTATATAGGCGGGCATAGCGGGCGATTTGTTTATGACTAATGAGAGGGCGAGACGAACCAGAATGGAGTGAGGTCTCCGCGTGCAGCGCGCTGCTCAGTGACGGCTCAATCCTAAAGATTCTTCTATATTCATTCCATCCCGCTCACCGCACCACACCATACACACACTCGGCCGTGTCCGGCCGCGCCGCGAGGCTTTCGGGAGAGAAAGTGACACTCTTTAACCTCGTCTAGCTGCTGCTGCTGCTGCCGCCGCGGGACGGGCGCTTGGTAGTGTGTAGAGTACAGCACCGCCGAGGACGACGTACGGTCGGCCATCAGGGACAGTCAGGGACATGACGGCGGCGAGCGCAGCGCGCGGCGAGGCATGTACAACTGCTTTGAGCCACTGCCAAATGCGCGGCGCAACGGCCCCTTTCGGCAACACGGCACACACACAGACACACACACACGCGCAAACAGACACACACACACACACACACGCACATACACAGCACGCCACAGAACGCAACGCCCCGGACCAGGTGTTTGTTGAACCTCCCCACGTCCAACGTGCTGGCGTGGTCCTTGCTTTGCAAGAGGAAGGGCGCAAAGCGGGCGCAAGAGGGCGTTCGGAATGTTGGCACTCCCTGAATATTGATGCGGCCCGCCCCGCCACGCCACAGAGAGAGAGAGAGAGAGAGAGAGAGAGAGAGAGAGAGAGAGAG